TCATCACATGGTGTGACCCGGGGCCTGGAGTAGAAAGGTCTCTCTCTCTCTCGCTCTCTCTCTCTCAGGTACCATGGAAACCAGTCTGCCACTGGCTGCTTGTCCCGTCGTCCTCCAGTCGCCCTCTGGGCTTTTCCTGCATGGATATCTGGCCAACGCTCTAAGGAGGATTCATAGCCCTCATCTCAGTTTGTTCTCAAAGAGAAAATTCCAAAAACGTTGGAACTTACAGAACGTTACAGAACTGGAATCTCAATTGCGATGTTCCTTGAGACATAACTAGCACGTTGTGCCGTTGTTCACATGACAACACTTGTCTTGTGAGGTTCTCAGTCTCCTCTCTCTCTCAAATAGGGAATGCACGCCCTGCTCGGTTGTAAACCCACAATCCATCTGTGGAGGGCAAAACACAGCGCTGTGTGGAATTGGCAGCACTAAACTAGTATTATATTTGTGAATGTTTGTGATGTTTGTCTTTGATGTACCCAAACATAGAGCGCCTAATAAGTGGATGTAGTCGCTTAGACGTCGGGTCTTTTAGCATGAATGGGACCCTACATTTCATAACGAACATCACACTCTATAGAAGAAGACTTGAAACTAGCAATTGAGACCATAAACTCCCTTTCACAATGTTTACTGTTTACTGTTTCTCAGGTGAGAAGTATTTTTATCATAGACTTCCATAAATGGTAAATGGACTGTACTTGTATAGCGCTTTTCTAGTCTTCCGACCACTCAAAGCGCTTTAACACTACATGACATCATGAACCCATTCACACCCATTCATACACTGATGACAGAAAAGAACCACACACAGTGACACCTGCACGTCAGTAACTACCATTCATTCACTGTAGTCGCAGCTACAGGAGCAATGTTGGGTTAAGGTAGACATGCGGGTTAGCCGGGCCTGGGATCGAACCGACAACCCTCACCATGGCTGGCCATTAGAAATATTGCCAAGTAATGGCCCTTTTTAGACCCATTGATAGAATCATGTCACACCTGTATGTCAAGTTGGGTGTTTGTCCTGTCTCCACGTTTGTTTTGTGACTTCATGTTTTATTTTGGAAATGAACTGTGCTCTCGTTTCAGGTTCCTTGCCCTTCCTCATGTGTCGCCAGTCAGAATGTCTTCCCTGGTCCCTGGTTGTGTCCACCTGTTGCCACACTTCCCTCATGCGTACTTATAGTCTGCGTCTCCCCTTGTCCTGTACCAGTGTGTCATGTCCTCTCGTCTTGCACACTTGCCTCATGGTAGAATCAAGTCCAAGTCGTAGTTTTCTTTGTTCCGAACCTTGTTATAGATTCCTTAGTTGGCCTTATGCTGTTTATTGCTCCACAGTTCTTTGATTTATTTCAGAGCCTTTTTTTGTGATTGATTATTTTGTTATTTCCTCGGTAAGAGAGCTTTTGGTTTTGCAATTTTTGTCTATTTGAGCATTTTTAGTTGTACTTTGTTGTTTTCTCCTTTCCTCGCTAAGAGAGGTTTTTGTTTGCTTCCCGTCATTTTGGATTTTCCCAGCTCTCTTAGTTACTTGGTTTCCAGGGATTTCCCTGTGTCTTTTGTTGGGAAATAAAAGCTTCAGCTGAACCTCGCCGGCCGTACCGTTCGCCGGTCGGACCGGTGAACCCCAATGAATGACATGTAATGTAAAACATCTGCTGAAACCCATCAGAATCAATATCTAAAATTGCGGCAATAAATAACATCCTCCAGAACTAATACATTTGTAAAAAAGTTGTTTTACATACTGCGTGCACTGGAAGATCTACAGTGCGAAGCTGCTGTTCCGTCCTGCACCTGGTTGTTGCATTTGCTGCTGGTGTCCAAGTCTCTCGCTGTTACCGTTAATAACTGTGACACAGAAGCTTACTAACGTGGACGGTACTCGGCACCGGTAACAAGTACCACAATCCATAATACATCGCTTACGTCTCCGCTGCAAATTAAGCGTTTTACAGGGCCCCTAGAAGCCTTTCCTGGTTTATCACTAGTGAGTGCCTGATCATACATCAGCCTGGCAATGAATGGATGAAGATCACTGCCAGCTCTGTGATTTGTTTTCCTCGCCACGAAGCCTGAAAGTACCAGCGTATATATTTAGATTTCTAAATGCCCCGCTAACAGATGTTGGGGAGTCATATGGATGTTGGTGTAACAGAGACCCCCTCAGGTATTCTCATTATTCTACAACTGAGCAGATGGCAGGGAAACTTACCACACTTACCATTATCCATCATACATATTCTGCTCCCAATTTACATAGCTGGCGCTTCACAGGAGCTCCTACAGGGAAAGTACCTCGCTCCAGGATTGCACCACAGCTCCACCTGAGGCTTTGGAAGACAGTCTGAGATGTCACTGCCACTACACCTCAAACTGAAATATGCTAATAGTTGTACAGAGGAATTCCAACGGGGGCATCGCAGTTGTATATTTTGGATTGTGAGGTAGGAACAACTGCAGCTCAATGATTTTTAAATAGATTAATATAAATCAGGACATGTTTTTACTGTGAAACAGCCCTAATAAGATGATAAACTAGCACCTTTTAATATATTCTGGAGTATTCACAGCCTGTTACCTATGAGGACTTCAAGTTTCAGAACTTCTACCATTAGAGACCTTTCATACTCCAATTATGAAACATAATTTTAGCATTTAAAGTATTATAGTAAATATGGTGTTTTTGGAGCCCTTCAGAGATGAGTTTATAGTAGTGGGTCCATGTTTTATTTGTTATGATACTTGAGCAGAAGCACAAAGGTGATGAAGTACATTATGTCACCATCCCGCATCATTCGGTCCAAAAGCGGGGCCAGTTAGCTCCACGATATGCTACCAGGGGGGAAACCGCCAACAGAATGCCTGAAGCCAGCTAAAAAATGCTACATTTCATTTAACTTATCTAGCAGTTGATAACTAAAATGTTGATGGGATAGATAATGTATCTGCTAGCAAGCTAATGCTAGCTATGTGTTAGCATACTGTGACTGTGGCTAGCTTACACACTTCCAATCATTACTGCACGTAAACAGGCTCTCTGATGTAAACGGATTCTATTATAACACAAATATTGGCTTATCATATGGTCTGGGTTCTTTACCCTCCTGTCAGAGTCTCACTACACAAAGCAGCTTTTAAGCATTTTTGTGTTGTGTGCTAGCAGGCAAAAGAGACACCGTCATGCACCACGACATCAATGGAGACCTTTGAATAGTTTCCCCTCTGGTCTGGGTTTTATTGCGCTCTGTCTGTGTAGACTATGGTTCTCCTCTTAGAGCTGCAACTCCCCCTAACCCAGCCTGATCTCCAAAACCTGTTCCTAAAAATGTATACGAAAATCTTGAACAAGCAATTTCGTAGTGATACATAGGAAATAGATACGGACTGCAACTGATGACCCTATTCATAGTGAACGGGGACCTGCACCCCGTAAACACACTTTGTGAAGTCTAACGATGTAAAATGAACGTGTTATGATTGCATTTTTAACGAGAAATCAATGTTAACTTGTAAGAATACAATACAAACACTAACCCCCTCAAAAATCCAACATGGCGGAGAGACGTCCACTCAAGAATCCAACATGGTCCGCCATGTTGTTCACTCAAGGGGCGTGGTTAACCCCCGCCAGTTCCTATGTATTGTTACCAATTTGTATGTTCAAGATTTTCGTGTACATTTTTACGAACAGGTTTTGGAGATCACGTTGCCTAACCAGGAAATCCCCTGTTGCAAACCTAAAAAACGCTGAAATACATCTTGAAATCCAAGATGTGTCCGGACCCCCGGTGAAGGACCCCTGCTGTCGAGTGATGTCGTTTGAAGAGTTAATTTTTATTTGGACTTGAACTTAAAGCCTTGACACATGAAACCCTCGTTTTAATAATCCGCATGCACTAAAAAAGCTGTAGCGCGCGTTAGGGTTTACATCCCTTTCCTCAGTCACACCCGGCTGATCATTTGCACAAGACTGTTCACAATTTAGTTCCACACTAGAGCACTTTTTTTAATGTTTGTTTCGTCGTCCTCCTCCTCTTCTCTTCCCTTCAAACGGCTCTCGGTGGCGGAGGGGAGCAGCGGCAGTGAGGCAGCACTGGGCCTGAAGGGCACTTTTCAGCCTGGCCAGACACACTCGGGCCTTGCTGCTTGGCTGCGCCACATGGGTCACCGCCTTACATTACGAGGGCCCTGCCAAAGTCAGCCAGGCGGAGCCCTGCAACATACCTGAAAACCAAGGAACAAAGTCGCTGCGACCAAACCAGCCTGTTTTACTGTGACAACGTGGCGTGACATCAGGAAATGAGATGTGAATATCATCTCAAGCATGAGGTGTATCAGCAGTGGATGGATTTTTCTAGCCATAGATATCCATTCGCATTGCCCGCCTTAATAATCATACCAAACGAAAAGCCCTGGCCGATAGGTTTGATTGGTGGGCCTTGTGTCTCGGCACTCCTGCGGGGCCCTTGGGTGCTCCCGCTGAGGTCACGAGGGGAGACTGAAGCAGACCTTATGTGTCAGCCACCGTTATTTATTTTGGAGTCCAGGCTCTATTCATCATCCCGCTGCCACTCCGAACCCTCTCCGCATCTCCCCCGGCCTCTCCCCCCTGCGTCCCGCCTCCTCAGCCCCGTGATCGACGCTTCGCGAGAGGCACCTCAAGGTGGGGCTAAACGGTCTTATATCCCCAATCATGTGGCGGGGGCGGAGTCCGACCCGCTCCTGCTGCCTGCTCAGCCCGTACTGTACATGACGGGAGGGGGAGGGGGGGGGGGCAATTAAACCCCCATTCTTATTTCTCACTAATATTTTTTTTGTCCAGGGGGGGCAGGGGAGGGTAATTTAGCAGGAAGACCGGGGGGGTATCAGTGCGCCAGATTACAAGAAAACGTGCCCCATTCCGTGTCAGTAGTTGAAACCAGCAGCCTCCCCCAGCCTCCCCCCCCGCGACTCCCCCCTCCCTCTTTACGCACGCCGTACTCCAGTGGAGGAAACGGCAGTTCAGATCACATTTCACATTCAGCTCCGACCGGCTGAGAGAGAGACAGCCAGCGAGCAGAGGGGGAGCCGAGTCTCCGCTTTCCTCTCCGGTACCTTCGCCAGTGGAAGAAAATAATAACCATTTATATTCAAAAAGAAAAAAAAAAGACGCTCCGGCGGACGAACGAGCGTGCGCGCGCGCGCCGCGAGAACCCCCCAAAAACACCACCGGGATTTCTTTTTTCTTCTTCTTTGCTCATATGTGTTCCTGCAGGATTTTTTAGAGCGCCACAGAGAAATAGACAGACAAGAAGAAGAGGAGGAAGAAGAAGAAGAAGAAGAGATGGACGAGCAGACGAGGTTGATGCACTCGCACACGGGGGTGGGCATGGCGGGGCACCCCGGCCTGCCGCCGCATATGCAGGAGGGCACCGGAGGACCGGACGGCGACGGGAGGAAACAGGACATTGGAGACATTTTACAGCAAATCATGACCATCACGGACCAGAGTCTGGACGAAGCTCAGGCCAGGTAAAGACCGCGAACGCTCCCCGGGAATAAAAGGGGGATTAGAGACCGAGTGCGCGAGGTTGGACGCGCGAGTTTGCGCGGCCGTGTGCAAAGCGACGCGAGACGCACATTCGCCTCACCTTTCAATAAGAAAGTGCGCGAGAACGCGTGACAACGCGTCGCCCTCCTAAAGCGCTGAAACACAGCCGCGGTGCGTTCACGAGACGCCCGAAACATTAAAGCCAAAAACGTGTGTTTGCAATGTAATTACTGAGTTGTTGGTCGCGAGCCAATGCAACTTTATTACTCGCGATGCACTTTAAACCGACTGACGACGCCAGCTGTGCGCTTGTAATGTTTTACTTTATTTATAAAGTTGGTCAGGAAAAAAATAAATTAATTATGATTTCATAGTCAGAGGAAAATTGACGAATTAACAGCTGCTGTTAATCAGTCTCAACGCAGTTGTATCATTTATGATTATATTATTTAGAGCATTTATCTACAAGGTCTGTGGAATGCTTGTGTTGGAATCTGAAGCCACTTTTCTGTTTCAGGAAACACGCTCTCAACTGTCACAGAATGAAGCCTGCCCTTTTCAATGTCCTGTGTGAAATCAAAGAAAAAACAGGTACGTTCACGGTAGATCTGAGCAGGGGAGCCAAACACTGCACTGTTGTTGTTGTTGTTATTGTTGTCGTTGTTGTTGTTATTGTTGTCCACACAATGTCCCCTAATGGAGCTCGGAGCTGGCAAAGCAGACACGGAGAGCCACCGGCTATTTAATCACCTACGTGTCCGTCCGGCCTCCGATTCACACAACAGAACCCTGATGTTTGGAGCGTCGCTCACAGCACAATTCACCGCATAAATTTCACTGACGTGTGTTTCCTCCTGTAGCTTCAAAGTCTGTGCGTTTTTTAACTCTTTCACAATAGGACCTGTGGACAATTACCCCGAGCAGTCCTTATCAATTACGGTGTCAGGGCATGAATAGGTTCTTTTTTTTTTGAGGGTGGGGGGCTCTGTATGCTATTGTGGAATAATCGAGTATTGAGCAAAAAATGTCACAAGCGCATTGAGTAAACTGTCAAATCTGGTGAAAACGTCTCTTTCTATTCGGCGTTGCGTCCCTCCATTAGAGCAGCTGTGAGAGAGCGTGTCAGCAGAATAATTGCTAGAAGACAAATAACGTGACATCGGATGCGTATGTCATGTATCCAAATCTCCCCCTTTCCCCCCCAAACTCCATGTGACATTTTCTGAAATTGGCACAGATGGAATGCGGTGCGCCTCCGACCGACAGCGTCCCCTTGGTCTTATTTCCCCGGCGCTCTGCAGGACTCCCGCAAAAAGTTCCACAGCCGAGACACTGAGTGGCGGCGGCACGCCGGGTCTGCGTTTCACACTCATCAGTGCATGAAATTGAGTGGAACGGGTGGAGGATGGGGGAGGATATTCTTCTCATTGTCTTTTCAAGTCGCACTTGCTCACACTTGACCTTTGCTGGGCGGCGGCGCTGTCGACGTGCGGGTTCTCGTGTGCGATCGCACCCTCGCCTTGCTGCTTTCACGGACCTCTTTTTATTTTTTTTGTCATAGAAGCTCACCTAGCCGCCGAACCCGCGAGCCCCGGGAATGTTTATCTCGAGCGGGACCCTGCCTCGGGTGAGAGCGGGGGGGGCCGGCGGGGGGCCTTTTGTAGCCTGCTGGCTCGCTCCTCTGCTTCTCTTTTTTCGTATTGTCTTAGTCGGTTTCTTTTGGAGGGGGGAGTGACACAGTTATGCATAGTGTTTTACTCCCTGGCGCTTCTCGGGAGTTCATCCAAAGTTCGGCTCTGCCGCGAGTACAAAGTAGCTCGGACCTCTTCCTGCCTTCACAGCCATTCTTTTCCCTTTCAGCCGGCGACCTATAAATACGAGGTGCAGCTCCACGCAGCAGATCTGCTGCTCCTCTTCCTTTGCACGCACTCGGCTCTGTTCTGAGATTCAGTGAGGAGCGGTTAATGCGGTTCAAAGCCCCCTCCTCTGATTCTAGCATAATTTTTATTTTTTATTTTTTTACTTCAAATGTGCAGGTTTTCTTAACAAGGCTTTTGCTAATCCTGCTGGAGGCTGGTTTGCTTTTATGGGGCATTAACAAAAATCATCACGAGTTGAGAGTAATTGTGCTCCAAACACACCTCGACCTTCAACACTGTCGGTTTCAGGGTGAATAAAACAAGATTCATTCCTGCCGAAAGACATCATTTCACTCACACACTGCGGGGGGAAAGAAAAGTTTATTCTGTTTTCATTAAGTCCACTCATCAAATATAGAGGATTGTTCATTCCAATTAATTCCTTTAAATAGCACGTAATTGTAACAGAAGTTATCTCAGGGCACTTTTCAATAAATATACAATTACCAGTATGTTAAATAATATTTTATTCTCCTGGTTGAACAGTTGCATTTTTTTTTTTATGTTTACACTTTTTCAATATGCACTGACTTTTCTAAAATGTCGAGAAGAGTTCCCAGCTTGTTGCTCCCCCTACTGGATTGCTCTTCTTTGGTCTTTTCATTTAAACATTTATTTACGTCCCTGACGAGGGTTGAACTTTTTTGTGAGACGTGTTTTATTTCGCATTGAGTCATACTTATCACTTCAGTTTTTTGAATTTGTAGAAATAAATTAGCTTCGATGGTTGAGGCCGTTTTATATTCCCGATGTTGGGCAGTTAGGAATATATATGGAATTGGTCGTTTTGAAGTTTGCGCTGGTGGAAGAAGTCACTTGGCTTTCTTTCCCGATCCCACATCACATGGGAGGCAGAAGACGACAGAATCCATGATGCAACCTAGTTTGTTTTTGTGTCATTGTCATTATTATTTCCATATCTAAATGATGAAACCGGCTGGAAACAAACCTTTCTCATCTCCTCCCTTACCCAGTCCCACCTCGAACTATTTCAGGCTCCTTCCACCCCGAGCTTCTCTTCCAACACCAGCGCAGAGCCGCTGTGTGTGTGTGTGTGTGTGACAGCACCTGCAGGACACAATGCCAGTGTTGATCTAGGGCCTGAACTCCTGACCTGCTCTGTGTATTTTTACCGAGCTGAAGTGAGGGATGGCCAACAGAAATATTGTGCAGTGTAAACAAGCACAACGGTGCAGCAACACCAGAGAGGAAGGGACAAAGAAAACACACTTTATTTAATACGCTAGCTTTTATTTTTTCACTCCTTTTTTTGGGATACACGCCGGCTTCGTCTTTAACCGGTTTTCATTCCAGGCATTTGGGTTGTGTTTTTAACTTCAAAGGATTACTGTTTTTCAGACTCGGTGCTGTGTGAAGAGACAGTATAAAATACACAAAGCATATTAATTATTGTGCTTGTCTGTCCAAAAATGTGGAGCAAAGGTTCTCGCAGAGATATATTTCCTGAACATTTCCCTCTTGTGGCCGTCGACACGTGAAACCCAATCCTTCCACCAACGGAGAGCGAGTTGATCGAAGGGAGGCACAAAATCAAATATGACACGACCTAATGCAAGTTTACGCTCTCCGTCGGTACCCCGTGCATCTGTCACAGGCATGGTGAAGTGGACCGGTTTCTCTTGGTCTTCACCCTGAGTTTTTCGTATGATTGATGAAAAGGCCTCTTTAGATAAGCAAATGCTTGACAAACTGATTTGGAAAATGAGCCGCCTTGACCCCTGTAAACACTTCACCAACATCGTAAATCTCCAGCGGTGTCAAACAAAAGCACTCCTTCAGCGAGCTGCTGGCTAAATGCGCCGCTCTGACTCGCTGTTTAATTTGGACTTTTTTCTCCCTCTCAACCTCAACAAAAGGCCGGCTTTCTTGCGGCCCCCGTGTTTGTGTAGTGTAAGGTTTCCAGCCCCGGGGATCCTCCATTTATAAAAATGACTTACCGAGTGATGTAATGTTATTTTTTGAAGGGTGAAAATGGGGTGTTTTACTGCGTCGTGTTTGACAGGGTGAAATGAGCCAGAGGTCTGATTATGGAAGGTGCCTGGGAGCCCACACTGCATTGACTTGTCAGTCCATTCAGACGCTTGGCATCTGCCTATTTGTACTGCAGAGGCTGAACGCCGCTCAGCCGTGGCGACACTGTGTAAACACCCCGATTCGGCCTTCGGAGGGGATTGGGGTACCGGCTTGAAGGGGATCAAGGTACCGGCTCTGGGGAGGTGATCAGGGTACCGTCTCTGGGGAGGGGATCAGGTTACCGGCTCTAAGGGGATTGGGGTACCTGCTCGGAGGGGATCGGGGTACCTGCTCGGAGGGGATCGGGTACCAGCTTGGAGGGGATTGGGGTACCAGCTCGGAGGGGATTGGGGTACCTGCTCGGAGGGGATCGGGTACCGGCTCGGAGGGGATTGGGGTACCTGCTCGGAGGGGATCGGGTACCGGCTCGGAGGGGATCGAGTATCGGCTCGGAGGGGATTGGGGTACCTGCTCGGAGGGGATTGGGGTATCGGCTCGGAGGGGATCAGGGTACCGGCTCGGAGGGGATTGGGGTACCTGCTCGGAGGGGATCGGGTACCGGCTCGGAGGGGATCGGGTACCGGCTCGGAGGGGATCGAGTATCGGCTCGGAGGGGATTGGGGTACCGGCTCGGAGGTGATCGGGTACCTGCTCGGAGGGGATTGGGGTATCGGCTCGGAGGGGGATCGGGTAACCGGCTCGGAGGGGGATCGGGGTACCGGCTCGGAGGGCATCGGGGTACCGGCTCGGAGGGGATCGGGTACCTGCTCGGAGGTGATTGGGTACCTGCTCGGAGGGGATTGGGGTATCGGCTCGGAGGGGATTGGGGTACCTGCTCGGAGGGGATCGGGTACCGGCTCGGAGGGGATCGGGTAGCGGCTCGGAGGGGATCGGGTACCGGCTCGAAGGTGGCGTCGCGCTCAGACAATTAGTCCTTTCTGCTGGTCGGTCTGTTATTGAGCGTTTAAGTCACCGTCAAATGAACACGCCAAACATTTTCTGGTTTCCGTTTTAATGAGCTTTTTATCATTTAAGCTCAACGGTTGGGACTGTTAGTCGGACAAAACTGGGCTTTAACTAAAAATCGATTTAAACCATTTAGTGGCAAATGGACTGACCAATTGTTGCAGCTCTAGATGACACAAGACGTCTCCGGACGTTTGTGATTGCTGTTCGACATTTTATACACTGATCAACTAATTGAAAAAAAAAATTTGGAAATTGAAATAAGCTTAAAAAGGACCCGACCATTGTTTTTATTCTGCGAGGTGATGACAATTTATTTAGAAAACAAACATCAGCCTTACGTCATATCTGCATTGGGAGCCAGCAGATAGTAACGGGGAATGTTAGCTAGTGTGTCTGTAGATGTCGGCTCTGATGGCGAGCGCCTCCTCCATGCTGGTACAGCAGCATACGGAGGGTGGGGGGGTGCGGGGGGGCTAAGCTTGCCACCACAGCTGTTTCCCCAATCTCTCTGCTTAATCATCCACTGAGAGAGAGAGAGAGAGAGGGGGGAAGATATGAAGTATAACTCTGCTCCGAGGATGTGGACCACGGGAAGAAACGTGTATTGACGAGCCGCCGTCGGCCATATTTGGACTTTTGCCTCGATTCAACTAAGAGAATCCTAATCAC